CCGTCAATTTAGGGAAGCCCATTGGATTGAGACATTGAATACATCAAGACCTATAGGACTAAATATCCATCATAATGTAGGCATAGCACCCTTTGTTGTCCCGTTTAATACAACCAGCAATCGAGCAAGCAAGATAGTTCATGCCCACTATAAGAGCCTTCAAGAGAAATTCCCCATGTCTATAAGCATAAAATGATAGTTGCATATTCAAAAAATAAGAACTTAAATGATAATATTGTTCATAGCAAACTAAAAACAATCAGTACATAACAGATACTATACTTCTCGCCCATCGGGCGAGTTATTTTTTCTAATTTCAGATCAGAATAAGAACAGAAGAAAACCCAATATCAAGACCCTTAATCCTAATTTCTAAATAAAGTGTCTGCTCCACCCTAGGCCTGTACATTTGGGAGAATCAAACCCTCCCTTCCCCGAAATCTAATCATTTCAACCTCGACGACCATTCAATAGACGATCTCGCCCTAATCCCAATTGAGCGTATAGAAATTGACTTGCCCGAAGATGAAACTACCAAATTCCGTCAATTTAGGGAAGCCCATTGGATTGAGACATTGAATACATCAAGACCTATAGGACTAAATATCCATCATAATGTAGGCATAGCACCCTTTGTTGTCCCGTTTAATACAACCAGCGATCGAGCAAGCAAGATTGTTCATGCCCACTATAAGAGCCTTCAAGAGAAATTCCCCCATGTCTATAAGCAGAAAATGATAGTTGCATATTCAAAAAATAAGAACTTAAATGATAATAATCTTCATAGTAAACTAAAAACAATCAGCACATAACAGATACTATACTTCTGGGCGAATTATTTTTTCTAATTCCAGATCAGAATAAGAACAGAAGAAAACCCAATATCAAGACCCTTAATCCTAATTTCCACCCTAGGCCTGTACATTTGGGAGAATCAATCCCTCCCTTCCCCGAAACCAAACATATCTTGTATATAAATATATTACTGCTAAACAATATTTATATCCTCTATCAACTGGTATATTAATTAAATCAGCTGACCATATATCATCTTTGGTGTAAACTTCAACTTTTAAACAGTTTTTAGTTTTTCTAAATTCTTTTTATGAATTTCATTTGCTATTCCCATGCCTAATTTCATTTATGATTTTAAAAGTCTTTTGACTAGAGCTCTTTTTAGCTCTAAAAGTACAATTTGGAATAGATTCTAATACGTGAATCACTTGTTGATCCGCTTTATGTCTAGATTCTATGTCTGTATGATCTCTGTATAGAATATCGTGTTTTAGCGCTGCTCGGTCTATTATGTTAATAGGTTTTTCTCCTGAAGCGAAAATGGGTAGGGTGTTCACAGATTTTATCAGACGATCTTATCCTAACCCCTATTTAGCGCAAAGGAGTATACCTGCCTGAAAATTAAACTACGAAATTCCGTTAAGCTGGGGAAGTCCATTGCATTGAGACGATTCATGCATCAAGACCCATAGGATTTAATATTCATCATAATGCAGGCCTTGCACCCTTTGTTGTTTTGTTCAATAACACCAGCAATCGAGCAAATTTCAGATCAGAACAGAGGAAAAATAGCCATCAGTTCCAGACCGTTTATACCATTTTCTTCATGAAGTCTTCGTTCCAATTAAACCCTGTACAATTGGGATAATCAACCGTTAGACAGCTACGGCGGTCATAGATATAGAATTTGCCTTGGAAATATAAAATTGAAAAGGTGTTCGGAGTAAATATGTGTAGTATCTATTAATGAGATATGAGTTTAATAAGCATTCATGATCATGATAAACCTGAAACCCCGTCTACACGATCATACATTTATTCACAACATCGTCATGATCGTGTCCAAGCATGTTTTGGATTTCTGTCTACATTGTCCAACACCATCAAACATATTCCAACATTTGCATGATGATGTTTGATAGTGTTTGGTGAGAAAATACTGTTATTGGAGGGGAAATATTTGAACATCGATGTTCTAACCAGTCTATTATACTATTAATTTTACAATATTTCGTCGACCAAGGTGAAAGAAGAGATCGAAAAAGGTTCACCAAGGGGTCAGTAACTGGATCCAAAGAAGAGGTTGGCAAGGTTTTATTTAGTGTGCTTCAGCTGACAGACCAGACTAGCCTCAGAATTTCTTTACGTATGGATGTATCTTCCTTCACGGATTATTAGAAAATGTGGTCAGGGGCGCCTTTTTTCCATGAGTCAAATATGCTGCTGTTGTATGACATTAAGAGGCTTTTGGTAGACTTCAAACGGTAACCATCTTTAACGTCAAATAAGCGATGTATTTAGCAGAATTTTTAATACAAATTTTTGGGTTTCGTCAATTTCGGCATGATGCATTGATCTAATTTGCCTTGATGAAGAATTTGCGACCCTGTTGGTTCTATTAATTGTAAAGAAACAGTCATAATATGTATCTTATTCACTGTTCACACATGATACGTGACCGTCTCAACGTTGTTGGGGAATTTGTCCACGAACATGGTTATACAAATGTATGATGATATTTTGAACATATGTTTGATCGTGTAGTTGAGGCTATATGTATATTAATCTGATTAGGATGAGTTCAAATTGTTTTACTATATAAAAGTTAAATGTATTAATAGACTAGAACCACTCGTGGTACCGAGTGGGACTTTGCTCATGTGCCAATTTGCTAGAGAATCTGAAAAAATCAACGTTCTTAGGTCACATGCTAAAGCAGTCAAAATGTTTGAAATTTTCTCTTTTTTGGAAGGTTGTGAAAGCGGAAGTAGAAGTCAGACATAAAATATGAAAGAATGATTAGATTTCCAAGGTCAATGACCTTTGACCAAGTTAGGGGAAGGTCATTTAAGGTCAAGGTCACTAGATATGAGTCATTTTGTGTGGCACGTGTGTGACGTTAAGGCACGCAGTAGAGGGACATAACTCTAGCAAGTTATAACCAATTTTATTTATATGAAAGAATCAACTGATAGCCAAGGTCAATGACTTTGTCACAAAATGTCAATAATGAGTAATTTAACCCGGATGTGCCATGCCCATCTCATTGATTTGACACAAGTAAATTGCTATTCAAAATGTTATGTTGTGTTCAAAATTTCAAGCTTCTGCATCATGCAGGTCAAAAGATACAGGTCAACAAGTCAACAAAGGTCAAAGTCGAAAATTGAAAATATGGAAATTTTAAAACCCGTTCCTTTTTCGGAACTCTAAAGCTGAAACAACTGAGCTGTTAACAAAAAAACAAAAGGATGAGGTCATTGTGTGCAAAGTCCCCTTTTGAACAAATGTATCCTATGCGAGATATGCCCCTGCCCCTAAATGTAAACAATTAGTAATTCAACCCGGATGTGCCACGCCTACCTCTACTTTGTCATTCATATCGAATTCATATTCAACTTGTCTAGTTGTGTTCCAAGTTTCAAGGTTCTACATCAAATAGGTCATAAGATATACATACACCAAGCTCAAAGAGACATAAATATGGTAAAAAAATACACTCAAATTTGAAAAAAATCACGAATTTTAATTTTGCTTTAAAAATACGATTGTTATATATCACTTGAAAGAGCATGAGAAGCACATTAAGAATCCGAAAAATTAACCCTTTAGGTTAATTAGGTCACGTGCTAAAGCAGTCCAAAGTTGCGAATTTGGCTGTATTCGGTCAGTCATACAACCGGAAGTAAATGTCGGAAGTCAAATATGAAAGTATCAACTGATGGCCAAGGTGAATGACCTTTGACCCATTGAAGGTCAAGGTCATCAAAGGTCAAGGTCTTCAAACTTCGAAAAAAATTCAACCGCAAATTGCAAAATAGCAAAAGGGAAAATCTAAATCGGATAAGCCATTATCTCTGAATAGATTTTGACGCATTTCAGGAAAATCAAAATGGCGGCCTAAATATTACTTCCGGTCCGGATTTTTTTCTTTGTTTCTCTTTGTCATAACTCTGTCTACCGATCAGCATAAATTTGGTTGACCTACCATTTTGTATACTTTAGTATTCTATCTTTGCACAAAAAAAATTCAGATCAATTGGACAAAAATTGCAAAATTAAACCTAAAAAAGTGTGCCACAAATTATCGATTTTTGAATTTTATAAACTGCTATCATATCAGATATTACATATAGATTCTGAAAATGAAATTCCTAAGAAAATCGATCCAAAAATGCGACCTCTAGAGCCGATTTCCTATTTTTATGGCTATGCAAATATGTTCCAATTTATATTCATTAACAACGTTGCTATAACAGAAGGTCTACACATGTAGAACTGTAGCAGTGCGCATCCAACCTGATACACGGGTGAAACGTTGCATTTTAAAGTCACAATGGGGTTTCTTAACGAAAAGAAAAGCATGTAAACATTCAATATTAAAAATATCGTTTAAACCGTTTAACGTTCGCTAGTGAAGAGACGCACGAATTTGATACCATTCGGTACTAAACTGTGTTAACATTCGGTAGTAGAAAGTCGAATTTTCAAATAGCTGTAAAATTTAAAAGTACAAATCCCACAACAAAAATGAAAATATTTTTGGAAAGGTCTCATCAAGCACAATAACTTTACGGTCAAGGTAAAAGCGGACGTATACGTTGAACATCAAACATCAAAGTATGAATGGACATCCTAGATCAATAACCATTATGTCATCAATAAAAATTTTGTTCAATGTCGTATTTAGCATTTATCTAGTTTGAAACCCTAGAACTATTGTGAAAGATTCCCTTCTCTCAGATGTACGACAATGAAATTAAATTAGAAGTTATTCGGACAGAATAGGATTAAATTGTATTTGGTGCCACTGTTATGTTTAAATGGTTATGCTGTTTGGAACGGTTAAAGCAGTCATGAAATATTCTACTTTGTGGTCTCAATCATTCGTATCATATCATTGGATGAAAAACATTTCCATGGTAGCTCTGAATCAATTTGACCTCCAAAGTATACTTTACACCAATGTCCAATAAGATAAACTTACCTATGTGCAGAGCGATCCAGGGGTCTGGAGAGCTATGGCTGACACTTATCTGTGCTCTCCCATCATCACCAACAAGAACAGTTTTACCAGTGCATTTCCCGTTACTTAAATCACCCGTGACAATGTCACAATATATACCACCAGCTAAACCAGTATTCAAATAAGTATTCAAATCATAACCTTCCAAATTAAATGCTATAAAGGCTTTATTCCCACGAGAAAAAGCTATTTGATAATCAGCACCTGACCACCAATTGGCCAGTCCAGTAAAACCAGCACTGTTACGGAAAGCAACCATGTTATAAATTTGTCTCCACCGATGTTCACATGACCAACCATTTCCACAAGTTCCATCACTCGTAATAGACACATCTTTAATAGACATATCGCTGTTGTGTGGTGGCCCAGCAGAATTATCAGCTCTGTTATATTCAAAACTACTCATAACTCTTGGAAATCCATATGGATGTGCTAACATAAATGCAGTAGCCATCTTATAAGGTCTCGCTTCCCAATGAGTTAAAACAGATCCACCACCGCCATGACCTCTTTGATTATCATGGTTATCGATAAAATTAAGAACATCTCCACCATTCATCATACCCCACCCTTCCCCAAAATTTCTTAAATACTTCATTGGATTTTTTTTCCGGAATACTTCACCAAGCTTGATACCATATACGAAATTTGTCACTCGACCACTTCGTACATATTCTGAACCTTTGATGGCTTCTCCACCCATATCAATTACCTCTTGGTAGACAAATAGTCTTTTACCACCTCCAAATATATCTGATCTCAATAGTTTAGTTTTAGATAAGACAGCAGCTATGTCCCCTGGCCACATGTGCTTAGCTGCATCAATTCTAATACCAGCAACTCCAAGATCGATCAAATGATTCAAATAGTCGGCAATTTTGCCTCTTACATAATCTGACGATAATCGTAAATCGGATAAGCCGACCAGTCTACAATTTCTCACTTCCTCGGCGTTATTATAATTATGAATACTGAGATCGCCAGTATGACAGTTATCATGTCCATTAAAATCATTTCCACCATAAGGAACAGCAGGGAACTTGAGAGAGTTTGCATCATATGGTGATCCTCCTGTTCCATGTCCAGTACCACCAGTGCCTGTCATGTGGTTTATAACAGTATCCACATAGATCCTGAAATGACAAATCCGTATAGTTAATGATGTTCTGTGACTTCAAATTAGCCTAACGATTCCGAAATGTGTTATTCCATATTTTCAAAGTTAAAAGTACAAATCGCACAACAAAAATAAAAATATTTTATGAAAGGTTTCGTCAAGCACAATAACTTTTGTTACGGTCAAGAGGTCAACAAAGGTCAAATAAAAGAGATACAAGCCTTAAAGTGTTGAGAAATGCTGTTTTAGGACGTCTATAATAGCAGAAATATATGTCGGACATCAAAGATCAAAGTATGAATATGCACCATACCTTTGACATTGCAAAGATCGAGGTCACGCATGTCAATGGTCAAAATATCGAAATTTTATAAATTGTAAAACCTATTCCCTTTTTTAAAGTAAAAGGCCTAAACAAATGCAAGTTTATGATTGATTCTCATAAGTAGTGGTTTATTTTTATGCAAAATGACGATGTTGACAGATGCAAACTTTGCGAGTTTCAAATTCCAAATTTGAAATATTTAAGTTAAAGGTAAAAGTAACCGGATGTGCCACGCCCACTTCAAAAAATTTGTTTTGTCTCTAATAATATGTAGTGTTGAATAATGTTCAAAATTGCAAGTGTTTACAATCATTAGATCATGAGATATTCGTAATAAAAAGTGTTTTTAGGCAACGGTGACTGTCGGTGTATTAATGACACCGTGAATTTACGCACAGTTACTATAGAAATCAGTACAAAATTTTCGATTTTAAAAAAAACCCATTTTGATTAAAATATCAAGTGTGATATATCACAAGATATCAGAGCTCATGCACATTAAGAATATATAAGAATTTTGTCGTGTGTTAATTAGGTCGCATGACAGAGTTTTTCAAACTTAAATATCGTGATTTTCAAATGGTTGTAAAACAAAAATGTAATTAACAATGGATGTACTACTAAGTCCTTTAAGGTCAATAGAGGAGTTCGCCAAGGTAACCCTATGTTATCTAATTTGTTTAGTTGTCATTGAACTTTTATTAGATGCAATTAGAAATAATGATTGTATTAAAGGCATCAATTTTGAAAAAAAAGCAATTAAATTAATAGCCTTCTGCTGACGACATAACTGCCTTCCTCAAAGACTATGAATCTGCAAGACATCTTTTTGAAGTTCTAAAACTTTTCAGCCTTGTATCAGGACTAACAATAAATGTACGTAAAACAGAACCTTTGAATCTTAATATCCCTAAAAATGAATTTGCAAAAATATCAAACTTTGGAGTTAACAAATGTGAAATTTTCACTAAAATTCTTGGTATATTTTTTTCATTAAGCTATACCACAAGCTTATAATTAAATTTTATTGATCTGATCCCTAAAATTGAAAACATATTAAAATCGAGGATGAGGCATAATCTGAGTTTAATAGGAAAAATACAGGTTATTAAAACCTTCATTATACAGAAAATCCTTTACCCCGCGTCTGTTATAGTGTATTCTAACAAATTTGTTGACCAGATTGTTTCACTATTGTATAAATATGTCTGGAATGGAGTAGATAAGTTGAAGAGGTGTTTATTGACTCAAAATTATAAAAACGGTGGCTTAAAAATGGTTAACTTGAAACTATTATTCAATTTTTTTTGATTAAGAAACTGGTATATTCCATTAATCAGACAAAGCTAATACCATATAGATTTATAATGAAAAATTATGAGACTTCAGTCTGTACCATTCTTCCTATCTGCAATTATCCAAAAAAATTAGACATTTCTGTTCCATTCTATTCCATGCTATATGAAAACTGGTATGAAATTAATACAAAATTCATTAATGAAATATCAAAACCAAAAGGACAAATTTTATGGCATAATATAAACCTAAAATTAAATAGAAATTATCTTTTTGATGAACATCTCATAAATACTATTATACTAACTGTATCGGATATTCTTGAAATTGACCAACAAAAAGAATCTTTCACTTTTAATTAACACCTAAGTAAATTTATTAATTGTGCAGTTCAATACCTAAAAGAAAATGATGCAAAAGATAATGATATATTAGTTTATAAAGAATCAATAGAAAACATTTTAGATACAAATTTAAACAATTTAAATTCTAAAATTATTTATGATAAGTTTAAAGATATAAAAAATAGTAAACCTGCATGTGTGAAGAAATGGGAAGATATGTTAAATATTAAACTTTCAGATCAGGATATTGAAATATTATTCAAAATTCCAGGCAACGTTCATTTATGTTTAAATATTTACATTATATTGTATTTACGAATACTTAACTTTTGTTAAATATTGTAACCTCAAATTTATGTGATTTCTGCAACTCTTATTTGGAGACAACAGAACATCTTTTTATTTTTTTGTTACAAATCACAAGAATTATGGGATGAAATAAGTAAAATATTTCATCATAATAATTGCAACATTGAACTGACAACTAATTTAAAACATTTAGGTATTTATGATGACAATATTATCAAAGACAATAATCAAATTAACTTTATAAATCATTTAATATTACTTACAAAGTTATTTATATTCAATTCAAAAATTAGTGGAAGACCTCTTGATGCCTTATTTTTCATGCCTTTTATTTATGAAACAGCTAATTCGGAATTGAACTTGGATAATGACTCTTATTACAAAAAGTGGCAATATCTATTGGCAGACAAGTCGAAATATCCATAATATAACAACCATCCATGGGATATCTTTAACAAAACATTGTTGGTTAATCTATTTATTTGTTACTTGACCTGTATTTATTTATTTAATATATTTATTTATAATCTGACCTGTATTTATTTATTTAATTCATTTATTTATTTTATGACCTGTATTATTTAATGTATATAACTCTGAATATGATTCTGTGAAAAAAAATGAAGACATCTTTGGATAGATCTCGTCTAAGGCAACAACTTTTGTGCTGGTCACAAGGTCACCAAGGGTCAAGATCGCAAGATATGAACTTTAAATGTTTTGGACAATATTGAAAACAATCAACCGGAAATAACTAAAAATCAAAATTCTAAAATCGGCTACCACACGATTGTTAGGAATCGTTCACTGATAATATAGACATTAAATAATACAAATCAGATTAAACCCTGATCCCAAAAAGTACTTTTAAAGACAATTTAGTCACATCAAGATGGCGGCTGATCTAATACTTCCGTGACGAATTTTATCATTTCAAATCTTTGATATAAACATATCTAGTATGTTGCAAAAAGAATTTTTCAAATATCTATAAAATTCTGGAAGTTGCAATTTCAACTTTAAGAGCGAATGACGTCAATACCGGAAGTGATACAGAAATTTTGAAAACAGAATTTTGTTCGCAATCAAAATGTCTATCAACTCGTAAATTTTCAGATCGATCGAAATAAAATTGTAGAAGTTGAAAAAAACTGAAAACCAAAATCTGAATTTTTTTTAACTGCTATCCTTTAGCCAATACTAAAAAGGAATGAACAAAACAAAAATTTCGATCAAAAATTGAAGCAGTAATTCCAATGATGTTGTGAGTGGCTACGTCCTACGTCATTTCCGGGTGGGAAAAAATGCGTCATTTTACATTTAAACAACGGCACGCACTTTATGACACATAATGATGTCAGTTAATGTGTGACATATGCAGTTTAGTCTATGCGCTCTGACCAGAATTGGGAAAAAAAATAGTCAGTTGCAAAACAAAGCAGTGCGTTCGATAGAAAAAAAAACCAAGACTGTTCCCTTGACAGTACTGATTCAAAAATTGAAATTTGAAACTTCTAAAACCCGTTCCTTTCTTGCAACTTTAAAGCTGAATTAACTGAGCTTTTAAAACAAACCGAGCAAATGGACAAGTTAATTGTGTACAAAGTCCCTTTTCGAACAAATTTATCCTCTACGAAATGTAAACAATTAGTAATTTAACCCGGATTTGCCAATTCAATTTTTTAATTATAGGTTAATTTATATTCAAAATGTATAGCAGTGTTATAAATTTGAAGCATCTACATCAAATAGGTCGTATTATATACATACACCAAGCTCAAAGAGGCAAAAATATTGAAAAAATATCCACCTCAATTCACGAATTAAAAACCAGATCACCTAAAGTAAACTATGTGGTACAGTGAAACTTTTGAATTCTTTGGCAGCCAAATTGGTATGATACATCTTTGTAAAACTCAAAATGGGGCATCAGGGAGGAATTGGCCGTGTATAAATTTGATGTGTATGTAATCTGTCAATAATTGCCAACAAAAACTTTTGTTTTTGTTGAAATTTCATGTTGAACTTTTTCAAGTTTGAAGGCTGATATCTCATGACCTTGACCTTTGATGACCTTGGCCGTCATTGGGGTCAAAGGTCATTGACCTTGGTTATCATTTGATATTTTCATGTTACTTCCGGTTTTATGGCTGGAAGCTTCTACGTAAAATAGCTCATAATATATACATACACCAAGCTGAAAGAAGCTTGTATTGTAAAAGATAGCTTGCCAGGCAAGGTAACATACGCCCACTGGCAGAAATGATAAAACTTAAGTGACTAAAGTAAGAATTTTTTCATATTTAAGAAATTTTAATAGTTTGATTTCAATGATATATATATTCTCTGCCAGTTATTTATGCTGAGAAATTCCACCAAATTTTAAAAAAATAATATCAATAACCCAAATAGATCAAATTATCCATCAATATACATGATCACTCCATGTTTCATTAAAATCGGTTGAAAACACTTTATTGTGTTCACAAATTTGGACGCGTTTTTCCTAAGTCAAGGGCAATAACTCAAAAACCGTTTATCAAAGGATCGCCAAATTCAAACTTGTCCGAGATCTCATCGATATGAATGATCACACCAGATTGCATTAAAATCAGTTGAAAAATGTGGTGTCTATTGTGTTCACAAGAAAATGTTGCGACGGCAATATACGTCCACATTTCCATGTGGGTGTATAAAAAGCATAAAAGTTCAACACATCGAAGTTATACGTGCCTATTCTTC